ACATAGACGCATAGACAGGGACATACAGATAGGGGGAGAGAGAGTGAGTGAGAGAGGAGAGAGGAGAGAGAGAGGGAGAGAGAGAGAGAGAGGGGGGGGTTGAGATCGACAGAGAGAACGAGAGAGAAAGAGATAGAGGCAGATAGAACACTATCTTTGAATGTCTACTACTTACTGATTAACATACCAATTGACAGATTGCTTTATTACTAAATAAACTGATATACCAAAGAACATTTTAAAGTGAGCCTCTATCTCCTTCTTCTACGTCTTTTCAAATGTAAGGGCCTATTATACATCACCCATCGACACGATTTAGATCATTTTGGAGTCGGCTGTAACACCCAACTGGGGCTGAAAGCGATACAGCATCTCAGCTGAAAAAAACTGAGAAGCTCGATAAGTTCCTCCCCCCCACTCGGAAATCGAACTTATGTCTCCTGTATGCTATGGCGTAGCGCCGAACTCTACACCACTAATACCGATCTCAATGTCACGACGTTGTGGAGTCAGACAAAGCTTAATATTGGGGCAATTGGGGATGTTAGTATTATCTTAAAACTCGTTTATATATCTTGCATTAACTGAAAAAACATACTTCTATCTTAAATAAAAGTTAAGATATTTTTATTTGAAGGAGATGGGAGTCGACTGGTTTTAGAGGTAAAAATAGCGAGAAAATGGCCTTCAAAGTTTGGTAACTTCCATAGTTTGAAAGTCCTTTGGAACTGAAAGTTTACATTTGTTATGCCTTTATTCAACATTTTCTGTAAAAACCACTCAGAAATGTGTTTTTAAATGGACATAAAAGTTGTGTGCCAAAAACCAAAACTTCTATCCAAAATTGCCTAACCGGCGGAAAAAATGCTGGTTTCTTCAATTTCATTATTTTGACGAGCGCCTGATTTCACCACGCTGGTTTCTTTGCTGTGTTTCTCCAGTGAAGTACCTTTTCACCGACCCTCGCCTGTTCTGGGCCCTGTTCAACGGACCCGGCGTGCCGTACCAGTACCGTCTGGAGGGACCTGACGCTTGGCCAGGCGCCAGACACGCAATCCTCACAACGGTATGGTATACTCCCATGATTATTTCTTTGTTTGCTTTTTTGTTTTGTTTTGTTTGTTTGGTTTGTTTGTTTGTTTTATCGGTTTGTTTGTTTGTTTGTTTGTCTGCCTGTTTATTTGTTTGTTTGTTTGTCTGTTTATTTGTTTATTTGTTTACTTGTTTTGTGTTGTTTTATTTGTTTGTTCGTTTGCATAGACATAAACTCTAGACAAACTACTCATCACCATTGTGTAGACCTGTGTTTGTTTGTTGGTTTAGTTTTGTTTTGTTTTTTTGTGTTTGTGTGTTTTGTGTGTTTTGTTTGTTTTCTATAGTCATAAACCTTAGACAATTCTCACTGTGGTTCGGTTACACTCGTGACTGTTTGTTTGTTTTATTTGTTTGTTATGTCTGTTTGTTTTCTGTGGCCATAACCCTGCACAATCCTCGTCGTAGTATGAAGTACATTTAGAGTTTGTCTGTTTGTTTGTTTGCTCGTTTCTTTCTTTCTTTTTTTTTTTTTTTTTTTTTTTTGCTTTCTCTAGCTATAAACTCTCTTCGGGCATTCTTACCTCTCTAAGAAAACAAATCGCTACCTCTGAATTACAAAGTTCTATTTGACATAATTTTTGGCCGTTCTGAGTTACTAAAGCTATGAGGCCAGAAAACAAATGCTCTCATGCTCTATTAAAAATCAATCGTTGGAATATTCGGAGTCGTAATCAAGATATTCAAAGAATTGCACTCCTCTGGGCTCCTAACTCTTTCTGCAGCCTTTCTACTGCTACTACCTGGCTCCCTCTTACAGTTGTCTTTCAGCCACACCCCTGATCTTCTGGTAGGAAAGATCTACACCTAGCCTTTTCGGACAAGGGCGAAAAATCTCGGAGGGCCCGTGTGCAAGTTGCGCACGTTAAAGATCCCTTGGTGGTCTAAAATGGATAAGAGTAGGCTTCCGCCGCCTCCCGCGGAAAATTCAAAATTTCCTACCAACTGAAAAGGTTTAGTGTGTCCCGCGCGCTTATATGACCTTATGCAGTTGCGAGCGCTGTAAAACACTTACCAACCTTACCCCCCCCCCTTCCATAAAAAACCAAAAAAAACCCCAAAACAATTGCATTCGAAAAAGTTTGGCACATTGTCTAGATCTAACTAAAAAATTTTGCCGTCAAATTTCTCAAAATCGGATGCTTAGCAGATAGAACTTTGTACTTCTGTGATGGCGAATTGTTGTATA